CCCCGCCACTTACTTGGGTCCCGCCGCGCCCCCGCCCCGGCCCGGCCCGGCCCTCCCGCCGGAGCCGAACAGGCGCCTCATCAGGCGCCACCCCCGCGCGCCTCTTGACGGGCCCGCCTTCCTCTGCCCAGCGGCCTTCGCATTGGACAACGCGCCCGTCATGCTCTCGGAAGGCCAGAGGAGCCGGCGGGCGAGAGCCGCGCACGGAGGACTTCCGCCCGCGTGATCATCGGGGGGGGGGGCTTTCGGGAACGAGTCGCCTCCGCCTCCCCCGCCGCCTGTGAACCCGAGTGAAAAGTGAACCATTCTTGACTGCAGCAGTGAGAGAAAAACTGGTTCTAGAATCGATTAGCCTGCGGGGGCTCAAGCGGATTATAGAATTCCCCTCTCAACAATTTTATCCTCACGACAACTCTGTGAGGTAGGGTAGGCGGCATGCGTGTGTGACTGGCCCAAGGACACCCAGCGAGCTTCGGTGACAGACGGAGGGGGCATTCCAATCTGGATCTCCCACATCACTAACTTCCACCAGCACTAGGCTTGGTGTCAGAATGCTGCTTACAGGAAGGTCCTACTTTTCTAATTTTCCAAGTGCGCAGTTATTACTGTTTGGTTGCTTTTATGTAAAAGTTTTAACATAGAGAGAGTGGGAAGAGTGAGGAAACCTTTTCCCCTTCTAGTTGTGATAACATTTCATAGAGGGATGAGGAGACATGTACCACTGCTAAATATTCCACTGGCAGTGTGATCTTAATTGATTTAAGACATGGTTTCCTTAGCCTTTTACAGTTTATAGGACAAGAAAAAGGATACGGAACAACTGATTGGTTTAGCATAGGAAAAGGAGTACGACAAGGATGTATATTGTCACCTTGCTTATTTAATATATATGCAGAGTACATCATGCGAAATGCTGGCCTGATTGAATCACAAGCGGGAATTAAGATTGCTGGGGGAAAGATCAACAACCTCAGATATGCAGACGATACCACTCTAATGGCAGAAAGTGAAGAGGACCTAAAGAGCCTCTTGCTCACGGTAAAAGAGGAGAGCGCAAAAGTGGGCTTGAAGCTCAACATCAAAAAAACTAAGATCATGGCATCCGGCCCCATCACTCCTTGGCAAATAGAAGGGGAAGTCGTGGAAGTAGTGACAGACTTCATGTTCCTGGGGTCCCAGATCGCCGCAGCCTGTGACAGCAGCCATGAAATTAAAAGACGCCTACTCCTTGGGAGGAAAGCGATGGCGAACCTAAACAGCATGATAAAAAGTAGAGACATCACCCTGCCAACAAAAGTCCGCATGGTCAAAGCAATGGTATTCCCAGTAGTCATGTATGGCTGCGAGAGTTGGACTATAAGGAAGGCCGAGCGCCGAAGAATAGATTCTTTTGAACTATGGTGCAGGAGAAGACTCTTGAGAGTCCCTTGGACTGCAAGAAGAACAAATCAGTCAATCCTAAAAGAAATCAACCCAGACTGTTCCCTGGAAGGCCAGATCATGAAACTGAAGCTCAAATACTTTGGCCACCAAATGAGAAGGGAGCACTCACTGGAGAAGACCCCGATGCTGGGAAAGATTGAAGGTCAAAGAAGACGGGAACGGCAAAGGATGAGATGGTTAGACAGTGTCATAGATGCAACGCTCAATGAAATTGAGCAAACTTCAGAGGACGGCGGAAGACAGGAGGGCCTGGCGGGAGTTGGTCCATGGGGTCACGAAGAGTCGGACTCGACTGCGACTGAACAACAAAAGTCCTCTTAATAAGGAGCAATGGTGGCTCTAACACATTGACATTTCTTGCAGACTTTTCAAGGAGCACTATCCGGAATATTTTTCAGGGCTGTTGATAGAATTGCCGGCTTTAGAATCAGCCCCTGCAATTGTCTCTATAATTAGGGTTGCTATCTCCAGCTTGGGAAATTATTGGAGATTTGGGGGTGATGTCTGGGGAGGGCAGAGTTTGGGGAGAGGCAGAAACTCAGCAAGGATGTAAATTCTGTAGCGTGCCCCCTCCCAAACTGCCACATTTCCTCCAGGGAAACAGCCATTCTGTAGTCTGGAGACCAGATGTGATTCTGGGAGAATTCTAGGCCCCACCTGGAGGTTGGTAGACCTAATTGTAAGAGAAGTCTGATATGCATAATGAGTTAGGAATGTTCTTCTCCAAGCTGTGAAACTTCACATTGACGGCTGCAGATAATTTGCTCTTAAAGGTGCAAGCCCTCTGCTCTTCCCCAGTAGCATATTGGACACCTTCTGACCTGAAGGGCTCATCTTCCGGCGTCATATCTTTTAGCCTTTTGATACTGTCCATGGGTGTAATAAAACAAGCAGAGACAGCAGGAGCAGAGAGCAAGCACACCCTCTCCATTGGGATTGAACAAATATAGCCCAATTCCGGTCACAAATTAGATGTGGCTATTAGCCAATTGCGAGTGGGCATGGGTGTGCCCAATTGTTGGTTGTCATCGCTGCAACATAGGATTGGCTAGAGGTTTGGAGACCACGCCTGCAGTCACATGACCCCAAACTCCAGCTTCTCCATTGCTGACATGACTTTTTGCATGTGAGGCAGAGCCAGACGCCATCAGGTCTGCCTCTTCCCTTAGAGGTGTGAAAGAATGTGTGGTTATATGGCATGGTTATAACGTTTCTCTGGCCATATGGACAGGCCATTTGGCTTCAACAGGAAACAAGACACAGCATGTTATCAGAAAGACATCACAGAAGAAGGCATGGATTTATAGAAATCAATATTTCTATACAGCGTGTCCACAGAAATGATGGACGCTGCTGACCACAAGTCCACTTCCATTGTGCAGGGGGACCCTTCGATCCGAACAGTTAACTGGATCTTCGTGGTATCCTCTAACTTGGGGAGGCGGAGTACCTGTACAGATGGCCAGTCTGTGAGGAGGTAGAGGTTGGACATCTCTGCTGCCGTCTCGTGGGTGGCGGCAGGGTGGTGTGCCTGAGTTGGGGGCTGCCGGTGCCGGCTTCCCTTTGACCGGCAGATGCGAGCGAGGTGACCCTGTTTCCCACAGGTGTGGCAAGTTGCGCTGCGGAATTGGCAAGACTTGCGCTCGTGTGCCTTGCCGCAACTAGCGCATGAGGAATGGCCTGTGGTCTTTCCGGTGGGTCCAGAGGCCGCAGGACCCGGTGGCTTTCGGTGCGAGGGCGGCCGGACGAGACAGACGTTCTCCTCCTCCGAGTTCTCGGGGCCCGAGTCGGGGAGCATGAGGTGAGATGCCGCCGGCGGATGGTTGCCGTAGAAGGCCTTGTGGGCGATGGCGAGTTGTAGGGCCGCATCGATTTTGATGTTGGTGGTGCCTATCATCTTCCTCCGAAGCTTCAGGTCTCTGATGCCCCACACAAATTGCGTCAAGAGGTTCTCCTCTACCTTGGTGAAGGCACAGTCCATAGCCAGCTGGCGCAGGGCTGCCATGAAAGCCGCGGTCGACTCGCCTGGTTTCTGGACGCGGCCCTGGAACTCGATGTGCCTGGTGAGCGTGGTTGGCTGGGGCGTGAGGTGCCTCGTCAGTGCGTCGATGATCTCATATGAACACTCGAGGATCGACCGGGGCGCGAGGAGGCTTTTGGTGAGGCAGACTGTGTTCACTCCACAGGAGCTTGGGAGTAGGGCTCATCTTTTGCCCAGATCGGTGACCTCGTTGTAGACAAGATGGCATGTCAGTTGGTCGGTCCACGAGTCCCAGAGTTCGGGATGGGCTGGATCGAAGATCTCCAAGTTCCCCCAAGCAGAGGCCATGGCGTAGCGTTAGCGGGGAGCAGGGTTCCTTGATGCGGTGCGCGGTGCGGTGCTGCTTGAGAGCAATGTGGGGCACGTTA